TAAACTGTGAGGTTCACATATTTCAAGCTTTTAAATTGGTGACAAAGGACAAAAAGCTGCTTTAGTCGCTGACGTCCACATCTTGAGGAATGAGTTCAGAGAAATTCAGCAGCCACTGTTTGGCCTCAACTTGAAAGCCAGGAAAGTTTGACTCTTCTTGAATTGCAGGAGTAGTTTGTTCAGTTTGTTGGCAGCAGAAGACATGGAGGAAACCTGGCTGGTCTCAGAGTGTTATCTTCACACAGTTGGGTTTGGCTCTGGAGTCCACCCAGCCTCTTTGATTTTTCTTAATTATGGAAATAAGAAGGAACACTTGAACGTGCCGAGCCCTGTCCTCAACTGGAAGCCAGTTAATCTGGAAGAGCTGAAATCCTCCTTTCCCAGTAAATTAGACAAGGCTTCGATGACACCTCCTGAGCTGAGATAATCATACAGACAAAGAAAGTTTTACCCCTGCTGTGTTCAAAGTCTTCACAGCTCCGGCTTTCCTTTGATAGTTCTGCTGTTTTTATTTGTTTCTTTGGGAGATTTGACTTCTGTTCAAGGTCTGCTGAAAGTTTGAGTGTTTGGAGAAATCTTTGAATGTGTTGTGAGGAGCGTTTTAAATATAATATTTAAAAATTGAGCTCCAGCTCTCAGTGGATATTAATTATACAAGTGAAAACACAGTTCAGCTTGTGGCTGTAAAACCTCAGATGTTAGCTTTGGGAGGTTTTGTAAATGAATGTAAGTGGAAGAGGTTTATTTTAAAAATCCATGAGCTTGGCTGAACATCCATGTTTGTCAGGTTTTTAAATATCAGAGTAGAGAGCCAACATGTGAATTATCTGAATAAATAAACATCCGCTCAATTGTACAGAGAATTACAGCAGTAATTAAATTTGTTGGTGCGTAGAAGTTAAAGAATTAGTAAAAATGCCATTAAAACATTTTGGTTCATTTAGCGGTGCCAGCTCATTTGCACATTAAAAGATGTTTAAAAACGTAAAATATAAAACACTTTGCACAGTCAGTACAGACAATTAACCCAAACATGTGCATAAACCTTTAATTAAAAGTAAAACAACGTCTGTGCTCGGGAGGTAGGAAGTTTAAAAACTAAAATTAAAACAAAAATAAATACATAAAATAAAATATTGACAAATTATAAGGCTGGGAAAATTCACTTATTAAAAAAAAGAAATGGATAATTTATGCTTAGGAAATTTAACAGTTAATCTCAGCAAAAGGTTTCCTACTAATTTGATAATTGTTTCCTCTTTAGAGATGTGTCAATAAATGTTTTATCTTATAAAAATGATTAACAAAAAAATAATAAAAGTCAAGACTAACAGATTATGCAAGAGAATAGTCTGAATTGTATTAATAAAAAATATGTAAATCTAGTAAAAGGTATTATATGCATAAACCTCATATACTCTCATATACTCTTATTGTTGATATTTTTATATATGAATATTTACCATTGCTAATGCATCGTCACTTATTGTTTTATTTATTTAGTTTTGTAACTCAAATTTTTAGAAATCTTTTCATTTCCATCAAAGTATCTAAAACACATTGAACATATTTACAGTCTGGGTAATTGGAGAAAAAAATATTTAAAATATTATTTTAAAAATAATAAATTAAATGATAATAGATAAATACAATTTTTAAGTACTAGTATTTGGACAGTGGTTCCAAAAGCTTAGTGGAGGCAGAAAATGGAAAAGAGCACCTGCCTTTATCTTCTGATTCCTATTTCATGTCAGACCACACTTCCTTAGTCTTTGCCACCAGTGATTCAAAGGATGTATTTATAGAAAACTGATGCTGATTGAACTTCCTGAGACAGATTTAAAAAGGATGATAATACGTTTTCTTTATTACTTATGATAACTGCTGTGCTTTTCATGCAGCTCTTTAGCTGTAAATATCTCCATGATTCACTTTCTGCTAAACCTCTTGAATTCTTGAAAGGACTTAAACACATTTGCTTTATATAGATCTCCCAGTTTTCTAATACAATACATTTCTCACCCGTAGGTGGCATTTATGTTTAACATTTTCTTTTTTTTTATTGTTGATTTTTCAGTTTTATTGCTGTTATTTTAGTTACCTTTAATATTGTTACTTACCTAAGTAGCATGATGTACAGTTTTGTTTTGCTGTTTATTGCACATCCTAGCTGTTTATGATTTTTTTAAATATATATATATGTAAATAAATAAATTTTGCAGACGTTTGTGTATAAAACATGTATATTTTTGTGCGTTTTTCTTAGTTTTCTTGCATTTATTATTGTTACTCTTGAACCCTTTCATTTATAAATTTTTACTGTTACTTGTCTTGCCTGTAGGTGGCGTTGTGTGTAATTTGCATTTCTATTGCAGCTGCTTAGTTATTCCTTATTGTCTGTTAGTGCTGTGGGCATTTTTGCAGACACATTTGACTGGTTGCATTTGTCTTGCCTGTAGGATTTGTTTATTATTATCAATATTGTTGTTGTCGCTGTCATGGAGTCTTTTTTTTTTACATGTACCATTTCACAGCTACTCGTATTTTTCTTCCCTGATTGGACTGAAATGCTGGTTTCAGATGCTTGACATTTAAAGATGATGCGTGACCTCATTTAAAGAACTGCAGCTCGGTAATAGGAGCTAAGATTGTGTGCATGTGTGTCACAGGAGATACCGCAGCGTGTAGAATGTAGTATTATCCAGTATATGTGTGTATATGTAGATTGCACTGTAGATGGAGACAGAAAAAATGAGCTTCTGCTGCTGCTGTCCTACATTGGGGGAGGAGGAGGCTTAGCTTTCATCTTCAGTTTGTTATGGTGTGTGTGTGTGTGTGTGTGTGTGTGTGTGTGTGTGTGTGTGTGTGTG